AGTGTCATCAACCACTGATTTCTTTCGTCTTGGAGAACCCAAATCAAGCAGTCTACATATCCCCACACGACTTAAATCAACAGTTAAGGGACCTCATCAACTGATGCTAGTGTTAGCGAACTTCATATTCACAGTTACTACATGATGGAATGATTTCTGACAGTAGTACAAAGACAAAAACATGGATCTGGAAGTGAAATTAGGGTCTTAGATATAGGAGTTCAATTAGAATAGTCAAAAATCCTTATAATTAAATACAGTGGTATATATTGGGTTATATAACAACTAAGAAATAGAATGATTTTCAAATTTATACTTGCTACAAACAGTTCGGAAATGTAAATTTTCACATTGATTTGACATATGAACCTAGCGGAGTCGAAGCTTATCCCTTGGTTTGCACTGAAGGAATACACCATCCGGTTCCTGTATGACACTTTAGATACAAACGAATGAGTGAGCTTATCATTTGATTATCTGAAATAGCGGTGGTTTGGCAGACTAGTATTGATAATGAGTGATGACTGAAGGTGAAATAGAAGTCTGGTCAGCAGTCGAGTTTCATAGCTCAATTGGTAGAGAACTAGACCGGAAACCCGGCGGTCGTTGGTTCAAATCCTGCCGCAGCGCATATTTCTACTTCATATTCAGTCATCACCTAGTATAAATAAGTGATCATTTTCATTTAAACCAAAATGTTGTTTCATTCAGTGAAGACTTCAGTAATCAAGCAACAATTTGTTTCAGATCAATCACTCAATTACCACATAAGTTCCTATAGAATCGCTGTCTAGTGCTCCCTCAGTGACTTGCTTCAATGTGGATTTCCTAAGATCCTGAGTGAAAATGAATGCTCACTAGTGCCATTAAGTGATGATAGCAAAATATCCCTTCTTGACAGAACCTGAAAAATGCCGATCATTGGATTCTAAATAGGTGACTGAATGGTGAAGTGCTCATTGTGAGATCAGCTGGTCCAGAACTCGATCTCTCCTGGAGTTGTAGGTAGGCACTTCTAAGATCTCGAAGTAGGATAAAACAGCAGTCCAGGCTTCTAATTCCTTCCTAACTAATTTTAACCAAGGTTAATATTACTTACGAGTCATATGATCCCTAAAAACTCTGAATTGTATTTCATACACATTTTTATCATTGAAATGCATTTGAAAACTGATCAGGTTTAGCTAAAAAAAGATAACAAGCTTCTTGAATAACTAATACATGAAATTATCATCACACTAGTTTAAAAAATTAAGCATTGAGAGAAATACAGCAGAAACCTGAGAATATAAAAGATAATTTCATCGAAATGAACAATTTATGAACTGATAAGCATGTAATTGGAGATACTATATGTAGTTAGACAAGCGTTATGCAAAGGATACCTAAGCGTATTAAGTATTCACGTGATCATTGTCAAAATTTAGAAAACTTTCATTCTCAAGTAAATTAAACCAAATTAATAACATTTACAAACAGACACATGCACAAAACCAACGTAGAACCTCATACACAAGAGCATAGATTCCAGTAGCAACACTTTATAAGTGCATAAAAAGAACAACTGGATAGGGGAAGACTGATGTCCAGGTAAACAACGATATGTGGGAAGAGAGGGGATTTAAAAATGAAGGTTAGCCGGAACGTTCAAGCTTTAGAAGATATCAAAAAATGAAAACATCTTCCCCACTGTCACCGATTTTCAGTTACTTCACCAAAATTCATCAATCACTAGTTGGTTTTGTCTCATGGACCGCAACTAGCTAAGGAGTCTACATCACCCCCACACGGCTCACACCAGCATGAAAAGACTTCACCAAGTGGTGCTACATTAAAGTTCCGCCACCCTGAACCCTCTTTCAACTTAGTCCAACTTCGTCTAGCATTGCACATAGAGGTACGCGGTAAGTCGGCATGCGCAGCATATACCTAAGCCACTTCATTCGATCTCATCGATTGACTTGCCTGTATTGGTTAGTATCTTTCAACGAACCTCGACACTGCTCAAATAGTGATCCCATCATATGCAAGCGATGCTACGAAGGAACCTGTGATCCAAAATTTATGACCCCTTCATGTCTTCCACTTTTAACTGCCACAGCCGCATAACATTTAGCTTAAATATAGTAGTGATATAGTGATATGATAAGTTTGTTGGTTCGCCTGCAACTTGATGTGATGATCTGTTTGACGCATGAGTAGATTTCATTTACAAACAGTTATGGGTTTCATTACTTTTATCCTTTAGTCCAAAAGCTTATCACTTTGAAAAACAAATTGAATATTGAAAGTGAAACTAAAAATTTACAACTGTACATTGCCAAGAATAATCACTAAACGTTTTTTCCAGTTAGTGATGAGTCAGTTTAAAAGTGAACCTGATAGAAAGACTTCAATAAGGATTTCAAACTTGGCAGCTAACTCTGTAGCAACTAAGCAACCAATTTGTGTACGTAATCCAGGTATACACAGAACGTTAACTACAGTTTGAATAGGCTGATGACAATGCCTTTGACTTGGTGAATGACTAGTGTTGTGTTAGAATCTTCACCAATGTATCAGTTTCATCAAGATTGAAGATACTACGTGCTGACAAGTCCCAACAAACCTGAAAATTAGGTAGACAGGAGCTTCCTTCTTGGAAGGTAATAGGAAGCAGCTAAAATGGAAACCAATATTTTAAGTTATTGACCAATGAAACAGAAATTTTTGAGCTTCAGATTTTCAGTGATTCTGTTGTGCAGTTAGAAGAAATCTTACCAGACAACTTCAGGGAGTCAATCATGATTAGTTATTTTATCTGACGTCTGTAGAAACTGTACATATATGAAGCATTTCTGTAGAATAAAGTCATCTGTTTATATTTCGGTGCTAACTGAACAGTTTTCGGGGTATTCGGTTGAAATGTTGTATCGTGATTAGTGTCTTTCTTATCTAAGAGCTTTGTTACACTCGGTCCCCTCAAAATATAAAGTTACATTCTCAACAGTCTAAAGTTGAGGACTTATTTTGAAGATGTTTTTTCATGAGATAAAAGCATTTCCCTACTCTCAAATGAATAAAATTTTCAGTCTCAAAATATTCGTTGATGAATAGCTTCTTCCAAACCTATTTTCTACAGAATGAGATTCAGTAGAATCTGGTTTTCAATAAGATCATGCTGTGACTTACTTCCAAACAACGGATTGACAAGGGAATATTTCAAGGCCTAATTTATTGGGTGTTGTGTTAAAGTATACAAGTTTTCACTTGCAATAAAGTAGCAGTTTACAAATCAGCATTTCTGATAAATAGCAGAAAGTTTTTAGTAGACACCAAAAAACTGAACGAAAAACTAAACACTTTGTAGTTCTTCATGAACCTTTTAGATAAATTTCAGTAAGCACTTAAAAAATATATCTGTCATACATCAGTATCCACTGACTGATATACAACAGCTTTCAGGAAGGTAAAGGCATTAAGTGATTAGTTCGACCGTCTTTTGTGTTTGGTATGAATGCAGCCTTCCCGAGTTTTAGTATAGAAGTTTTAGATTGTTTTTAACTGGATTAGGAATTTTTGTAAGGTATAATGTAGAAGTTGACACGAAGTTACAGTAAGCCAAAGAAAAGACTGTCTTAGATATGGTAATGTTAAACACTTCCGAATAATAGCTTGCAGGTATTAATACAGATCCATTGAATGAGAGCAACTAATAACCCCGACATATTTTAGCTTTAGCGAGTATCTTTCAAAGAATTTGTGCCAAAAAAGTTAAATTATTACAACCAAACCAAGAAACCGATTGTTATTATTGTTGCCCCTTGGGTTCCTAGTGGAACATAGGGCTTCACTAGCACGTCTCCAGTGCACTCTATTCTCTGCAATCTTTTGAACCTGCCTCCATAACAGCACAGAAGCTCTCATTTCTTCCTCACACTATTTCCTCCATGTTACCCTCACTCAGACGCCCAACTCGTCGTTTCGCATCTCAGTTCTACCCGAATGGTCTTCTCAGTGCATGCCCAAAAAATCTACTGAATGATTATTACCTTCCTGTATGGTAAACAAAGACCGTGAGGAGATTCTTATCGGCCTATTAGTTGTTTGTTGCTCAATGAAATAATCAGTTGGGCCACATTACACAACATAATGATAATCTCTATATAGTGATATACGTTTGACAGTGGCTATCGAGTGACCCTTACTTTTAAGCTTTATGAATGTAGACAACGATAGCATTTGGAACTGAAAAATAATGTTCACATTGAGATTTGAATTAACCACCTTATTCATTGAGAAACGTTGACGAACATTTGGGAGTCAAAAAAAACATAATTGTTACAATGTAGTAAATAACTAAATTATTTGATCCAGCCACATGGAGATCTTTTCGAAGCTTGTACACTTCAGCTGTGATGTGATTAGTTGTCGAGATAAACCATGCTGGTTATTATTCGATAACTGGGAGTGTTTTAAAGGCTGAAATAATCTACTGGGTTTAAGTATTTTGTTTAATAGAGAACCATAATTAGTTATCTTAGCAGTCGTTAAGATGACCTTTAAAGTCATTCCTATCTGGTACAGGTACCGTAAGGTCAACCCTTCCGGCTTGAAACTTCAAACAAAATCTAGGTGTAAACGTTTGTTTAAGTTATTTGCAAACACATGTCAATATTTTGTAAGGTCAACAGCATTATTTGAAATAGGCTCCCAAATGAGGAATACATAAGGTAGAAAACGCATCCTATAAATACATTATTTAGCGTCATCTAGGGTGAACATTGTGAAAAACGAATAAGGCTTCTGTTAATATCCAAACAAGCTTAAGGAAACAGGATGTGTGAGCCACATCATGAAGTAATTATAAAAGTAGATATTCAAACAAAAATCAAAAGACATACGCAGACTAATTCCATAATAAAGATATCCTATTATGGTGAGATATACTAACCAGTTTTAAGAGAAATTCGATATAACAATTAATATTTTAGGTAGAAAAAGAAAATACATTTACTAACCTGTGTTGTTTGATCAATTAACAATATTGATGATGTACACGTGTGAAACATTGAACCAGCTACAGATTTTACAACACCTTCAGCTAATTTAAGCAATGGAATTTTTGGAAACTCATCGCTATTCTTATCAGATTCCTGTTGTTGACTATATTGAATAGCTGTGTTGAATGCAGCATTGAAGACAAGTTGATGTAGAATACCAAAATCATGATGGTTAACTGTCGATGTGCTGAAGTTAAATCTCTTAAAATACTGTGTATATCACACGTGTGAGTTTAAACCAAGAAATATTGAAAGAGAAGGAAAAAAACAGTAGAAAATAATAAATTTGGAGATATTTTTAATCTTGACGCTAATAGGTAGTTTATTCACTTCAAAGTGGTATTTACCATGAACTGACATCAATCGGAGAGCCATTGAAAAACTGGGCTCACTAAACGGCTATTTCGTCCTAGAATAAGGTTTCTGAACACTTCCCTGCCCAATCCTCCCAGTTTTTCAATGATTCTCTAACGGATATCAGTCTATGATGAATATTATCTTGAAATATACTAGCTATGTTTTAGCTAGGATGTTGTTAAAGACGTTCAGATATGTCAGACAAACCAATTAGAGAGGAATCTTATAGTTCCACCTATATACTTGATTTCATATGTACATACAAGTGTATAATTTAGTTTGAATACAGTGTCAGCAATTTGCGTTTTTCCTTTAGATTGGTTTGATAAAACAGTTTGTTTGTAGCAACTTTTTTCATTTCAGTGAAGCTTATTTCAAATATAGCTGTTTACTTCTTTCTGTCTGCATGAATTTACAGGTTAGACCATTTGCTTTTTTAAAGCTACATAATGAAGACGGTATTATACTTCCTGTCTATACTATCTCACTGGTAATAAATGTCGTCTGAGGAAAATATTCTTGGTTTATTGGTTGTGTAGTATTGATTTTGACACCGATCCGATCAAAATGACAAAATCCCCTTAAGATAAAAGTATTATTGATATAATGCGTCCTTTAGATTGTTATATTTCTCAACTACTTTGTCATTACTTCATCTTCTACAGGGATTTAATTAGATGAAAACAACTCCAAGATGAAATTCCATACTTTGGCCTTGATGTGGAAACAGAAATGTATGAACTGAAAAAGTATTTTTGTTGCACAGTAAATTTTATCAATAGTCCTAAACGTACTAACAATATATGTGAGATAGAGTAATGTCTTCTGAATTAGCGGATTAAAACTGGTTTATTTTGGGCAAATTATCAATACTTCAGATAAGAAAATTCTTAATTACAACTCTGTAAATACTTGATGATTTTATCACGGTGGAATCGAATATTTGTTAGCGTTTGCAATTCGTTTATTTTAATGATGACAAACGTATCATCTACATATCAGATCCAAAGTTTCGGTTTAATCAATGGCAATACCACAGTTTCCAATATTTGGATTACCACTTCTGGAATTCATCCTGGTATAAATGATCCCATTGGTGTTCCATTTGCCTGTTTGCAGAGTTTCCCGTTGAACTGCAAGTATGTTGTTAGACATTAATCAAACAGTTCCATCAAACCTGAACATTGCAACTTTGTGTTCCGCGAGGTGTGCATCATTGTTGAGGAGAAGTGTCATTGTATCCTTAGACACTTAGGGTTCATTTGGTGTGAATGGGGCTACAGCATAGACAGACACCATCATTTCATCGTTGTCATTATGAATGTGCCTGATTTTTTCCCAAAATTTGTATCGAAGAATTGATATAGTAGTCACATAGTTTTGCAGGATGTTTTAGTTTTCTGAAAAGTTCTAGAGAAAGATTGTATGTTGAGGTCCCTGAAAGTGAGACAATTGATCATTGTGGATGTTCGGTTCATGTACTTTTGGTTTACCACATAATTGTTTGAGAATAGGTCCATTAGATTTCATTCATGTTGCTCTTGCTTTGTAAGTTGTTTCGCTTAGACGAGTTTCTTCAAGGTCTCAGGGATGTGAAAGCCAAACTTGGATGAATTTATCTCAAATTGTTGAGATACATTTTGGTTTATGAGTAAGTCTTCTGGTTTTGATGTAGTCGTCTTTATCCATGACTAATGTGGTGCACCCCTTATCATCCGGAATTTCAACGACATACATTTTATTCGCCAGTTTTTTGAGAGTTCTCTGTTATTCACTGGTTAGTTGGGTATTGCTTTACCTCCTCCTGGTTAGAGGTACGATTACTTGTCATATTTCCGGTTGGGTCGCAGAGGTTAGTCGTGAAGTCTTCAGTGATGACAAGAGGTGCGAAGAGTTCTAATCCTGAAGCGTCTCCGGTATTAGCGGAAAAAAAGTGGATTGCATATTTTTCCATAGTACATTAGTAATTATTGCCACTTCAGTTTGTATGGAGAAATCGAAGCGAAATGATGCCAGATTTCATAATACAGGAAAGTTTAAATCATTATAAGCTAAGATGAATTGAATAGCCGATATACATTACTGGGTTTCATTCCATTTCATTCTTATAACAAAGCTTTTCTTGTTTCTACGGTACACAATATTCACAATGAAGTAAAATCAAACGATTTGATCCAAAAAGGTTGACATAAATAGATTATGCAAACAACTTCTAGGAGGCATCTTGATCAGCAAACACACACATTACCAATGACAGACAAATATGAGGATCAACCTGCTTCGCATAGTTGATATTACAGGAATACCAAGTCAGCTGTTCAAGCAGTATACAATAAACACTACCCATAGCCAAGAAAGTCACTGATAATAATGTTACGCAAACCTGATGGTTCTGTACAGCCGAGAAAAAAGATCCGTGGTGTCTACTTCATCAACTGCATGTTATATGAGACATCATTTAACAGTTTTAAAAAAGATGCATAAACAGTAATATAAATATACATAGAAAACCATGGATATTTCTTTAGATTGCCAAAATGTGGAAGCGATGCAAAGAGGAAACCACAAGTTACTGAAGGGACATTTAGAAGTATATAATAAGGTCTAATAATAATGACTTGAGACACCAGCAAGGACTAACCTGGTCGATTGATCGAATAAAAAGGTATCGAAGCAACCAACAATCGGGTGTTACAACATTTATTGAATGGCAAGAATAGCTTATGTGCTAATCACCAGGATCATTAGGGGTGACTTTAAAGGCCACCTTAGCAACTGTTGAGATAACCAATTAGGTTTCTCTATTTTGAATGGAAAGGCAGATTTTCATAAAATGCATGTCTAATTGGTCATTTCATTTGTTGCTAAGTTGGCCTTTAAAGTCAGTCGTCATTAGGATAAAAAATCAGACAATGACTCAAGGTGAGATGAAAACCTGAATAATGGCGAAATTCAAACCAGTGGCCTTCAGATTACTAGTTGGATTTATTTTCAAGCTTGTCTTGATCTCCTTATAGCAAAACACATGAACATGCTATCAATTGTCACTTGATTTTGACTTGGTTACTGGGACAATGGTGTTTATTTATGCACCAAAATATGGCCCACTTAGTTAACGTGATCTATGTAAAGGTGTTTTATATTGTGAAGAGGCAACAAATAGGTTGGTGAGATAGCAGCAGGGGGATGATTGTTATCATTTACAACTCAAAGCTTGGTGACAGATTTGTTTTTATCATGTTTTCTCAAAATTATCATAATGATTAGGCATCTTATTTGAGGTAATGAGTTGGTTTAATCAACCGGCTATCAGCCACAAGGCTACATAACTCACTACATCATGGGCTGTGGTTCATTCACTTAGGTAGTCGACTTTCATCCAAAAAGTTACGCGTTTAAACACCGCTCCATCTACCGAGGTATTATTAGCTTTCATACAATAGGTTTGGCTTATTATCTACTACGTGGATGTGCACAAGTTTGCTGAGTTAGTTTCTGTTCGATTTTCTGACATCTGTTACGGTCAGACAGATTAATTTTTCGGTCTTCAAAAAACTGACATGTTCTCAAAAGTGTTAACCAAAAGGATAGGTAGTTGTTAGGCTTTACACCTTTCCGTGTAGTTTTTACAAGGAGGGTACTAAGCAGAGTAATTTGACTGTACAGCGCACTGTGCTTCGGTTTTACTTGTTGAAGATTATTCAGTAGAAAGCTCCAGACTTGGGTTTTTGCTTTCGTTGGCGTTCATCATCATCATCATTTACAACGATAAGATAACCCTTGTTTCCCTAGCCGTTCGAACCTGTACCACAAAGTGAAATACTTTACCACTAAGCTAATCAGGTCACAAGTGACCCACGTAGGACTCAATTATGTACATTAAGGACTAGATTAGTACATTGGTTAACCACTGGTGACCGATTTATGATTCCATACTCTACTCACCATGATGAAAAGTAGATTATGATGATTTTACAGATACACAACAGTTAACTATGATCATAATCCTTCGCTGTCTATTGTATTAATATTGGCTGACAGATAGTGAACTGCATACTAGCATTTAAAACACATTTTACGGCCCGCTGTTTTCAATGGATGTATAAATGACTCCTGAAACATCAATACACCAAAATAGTGATTTCAGTAGAAAGACCTGAGAGTAGAGAGTTTCGAAGATATACATACAGAAGCTAGTAAATTCCTCAAATACAAAAATTAAACTGCCTCAAGTGTATTCTACAGTCGATATCCATCACATATTGGTGAACTGAACACAAAAGCTGCATTCATCTTGTCAGATCTGGAAGATTCTGAATACAAATATCATTAGTAGTAAAAATGTGAAATGCTGAAGACACATCAATAAAAATGTATTCCGAGAATTCTAATTTTGAAAATCTGTTCGTTTTTCTTGACTAGATCATCTAAGATAACCTTAACTGGTAGGAAAGTAGGGGAAATCTGGTTGGGTATCTAGTATGATGATTGTAGTCAGAGACTTATGAATTATTTATTCACATGATAAGTGGCGAAAACTCTAAGTTGTTGATGTGAGATCAAGACTCGGTTAACAGATAAGTCTGAATACTCAGTCGACAATATGGCAGACTAGTAAGTCAGGGGTCATTGGTTTGAATTCGGTAGTACAGTAGACTTTGTTTTAGCCCCAGTCGTTATCCTGTTTTAGTTAGTTAGCAAAAAATGTGAATAAGTGGAATAATTACTGTCAGTTCGGTGCTCACCTTTGAAAAACTTGTACACGCTGTAGATCAATAGGTGTCAACTGGTAAATTTGTTGTATTGAACCATACGAGAATAGAAGACTAATATTTATTTCTTTGTCGGATTGAATATTTGCAATAACTGTGGCTCGTCGTACGATTTGATCTGATTGTTTTGTACACTCTGTTACCGTCTGATTTTCACCATTATCATTACCACTTAGCTGAGATTGTTGGACCGATGTAATAGTGGCAGTATTCATACAATCTTCTGTTTTCCCATGTAAATTATTTGCGGGTTCAGACGAACTTTTAGAAGTCACACCAGTACTACTGACACCAAGGGTAGACTGGAAAGTTCTCCGAATAGTTTTTACCTGGATTGAGTCATGTTGTTGTTGTTGTGTTAATAAAGCAGTGTGAAGAAGTTGGTTCTCACCTTTTAAACCAATCAAACCATTGGGTATATTAACCAAAACACGTTTGGCTACAGTCGCCACAGTGTGTATGTTGTAATCTTTCCAATCGATCGTATGATTAGATGCGAAACGGTGTAGTATATGCTTTAGGAAAGAGATGAAAAATTGACAGGAGACATGATGAAATAGAACTATGATACGGTAATACAAAAGTAAATAGGGTTCAACTAAACTTTAGCGACGGGAAACCTTGAGGATAGCCAACCAGGCTAGAGACAATTTGTAAGTGAAGTTCATTTATCTTGTAGTTGACGCCACATAAACCTTTGATGAAATTTGTTGGAAGAGGTAATGTGGTCGAAACAGATGAATTTCTCAGGTTAAAGAGACTAATAAATTGTAAAAATAAAGTACCGTTTCCACTAGTATCTACTTCGTCCTTCATATTCTTGATTCTGATTGGTTAATGCGTACGTGAACGGATTCGCTGTCACTAAAGTTTAGTTGAATCCTGATTAGATTAACATCAAGCAAGAAAGTGATACAAATTGCTACCTCTAACTAATACTTCAACTTAATACAATAATCTATTTGAATTGGTCAACAAACGGTAACTGATGAAATGAAGAGTCACTGGAGAGTAGGTATTTTCATAATGTCTAGTCCCGATTGGTAACTGGATTCTATCGATCATTTTATAACATCGTCATCAAGCTAGGGGGCTTACCATCATGATAAACTTCAATAGATGTTAGTTGGTTCAAGGCAATCGGCAGGAAGCGACGATTGACCTAGAACTCATGATCGTTGACATTCGTCAGCATGATGTATCTCCTTTTCAAGTTCTATCTGCTTATCAACGTTCATAATATGCACACTAGGCCAACACGTGCGATACGATTAAGAAGACTTGAAGTCAACTAAATTACTTTACATTTACGTTCATTAATTATGATGCTTTGATTTAGGGTTTACATGGGTTATTATACTGACCAATAGAAGAGAAAATGAGGTGTGAAAATGGAGTAATTTACGACTTTCGTCGATAAGATTCAGAGCTAATCTAAAACTCTCTTAACTATCTTTGCATAACTCAGCTTTCGCTAAATTCTGATAACATTTTCGTTTTCAAAATATGATAGAGATTAGACACACCTGAGTCCATTGGATGTTGTCTTCACACATAAAACAAGTAAACGAAAATAGCCAGTTTAACCTCATTGTCGGTATAAGTATTTTCGCTAGACTTCAAGCTAATAATTTCAAAATGAACCTTTTGATGCCTAGCAGAGCCATTCGAAGGTCGGGAATAACTCACTTTTAGCATGATAATTAGTTCCAATTTGTCAAGCGACATCTATCTGGTTTCAAACTTATAACTTTAGGACTAAAAATCATGGTCGTATTTCGCTTTTGTTTATGCTTTCTTTGTGGTGATCTTCTGAAAGGCCTACATTGTTTGAATAAGTGAGAAGTAGCCATAGCTTCTCGATGCTCAAATGAACAAACCTTGGATTTGTGAACGACATTTATGAAGTTAATCGATATATGCATATGTATTCAAAGAACATAAACGAAATGAAGATTTTGAGGTTCAAATACTTCAAGCTAATTTGCACTGACTGTAATAGTTCTTATTTATTTCTATCACAGAAGTTCTTCTGAAGGTAAGCTTTTTCTCCTATTTATCATATATTGACTTTTGGCACACATAACTGGCTTGATTAACTCCCAGTATACAGTGGAGTATTTTTCAATGATGTACAGCCAATGTCAATGTACAGCCTTCTAAAATCTCGGGATATGCTGATAAAAAACCTAGGAGATGACAATTATTTTTCTGCCTAAATTCGTTTTCACAGTTGTCCACTCTCTCTCTCTCTCTCTCTCTCTCTATATATATATATATATATATATATATATATATATATATATATATATATATATATATATATATCAGTCTGTCATGAATACTGCCTCAAAATAAGATTCCCACTAACGTCAAAATACATTACTGTACAGTGCTCATTGAAGACGTCAGAGTCAAGATCAGAAAGGCAAGACAGGCATTCATTACCCGAAATCAGTGTGGAAATCTACTGCACTCCACTCAGTATTAAGAACAAGATCCGGGTTTTAAACACCAACGTCAAGTCAGTGCTTCTATATGATGCTTGAGAGACTTGGCACGTTACGAAAAGCGTTTCCAACAAACTACAGACATACATTAACAGCTGCCTCCTACGCTTACTCGATACTAAAGATCAGATGGCCAGAATAATAAGAATAAGGAACAAGGAACTCTGGCTGGCTGGGTGCCAACCAACCAATAACGCGTTGCCCAACAAATGTGCAGAAGAAAGTCGAGATGGATTGGATTGGACATACATTGAGAAGACGGTTTGGGGACATCACGCGTCAGGCCAGGCCATTGAGTGGAATCCAAAGGGAAGCGACTAGTTGGGCGTCTGAGCCAAGGGTGACATGGAGGAGATTCTGTGAGGAGGAAATGAAAGCTTCTGGGCATTGGTGGGGCCTGGTTGAAAAGACTGTAGTGAAGAGAGTGAAATGGCGATGTGCTAGTGAAGCCCTATGTTTCACTAGGAACCTAAATGACAAATAGTATTAATAAACGGTGCTCATTAGTGACACGCTTCGAGAGGGATATCCTGAAGTTCTTATGAGAAGCGATGAGCTGTGAGGTCAACCAGTCGGAAGTGAAGCGTAAACCAGCTGAAGACCTTAACAGATAGTTGCACTATCTCACAAACTGGCAGAAGTAAGAAACTGTGGACCATTGAACCAAAACCCAGTGGCTGAGTAGTTAATGCTTTCGCCATAAAACCTGAAGGTCTTGAGTTCGGTCCCTGGTGAGCAGGGTCATAGGTTCGTATTGATGAGGAGGCACACGGTAGGACAAACATCTGCTCAGCGCTTCAACGATTGGAATCATCTAACAGACCAGTACTAGTGTATACAAAAAGTACATTAGAATAACTGCAATAGAAATCCAATGTGGTAACTTTAAATTGTTTATGCTACTGAAAGTGAATTACAGTCTTTTCTACACACAGATTCGCATTTCTGACGGGTATGAATCACAGATCCATTTCTACTCAAAACCAGCAATCATATATGCTAAGTTAGCCCAAATAAGAGCAGAATATGACTTAATTTCTGATTCGATTGGTGTATTGTATAATTCTGTGATAACTATTTTGTATAAATACTTTACTTATCAGTTGTTCATCTTAATTCAAATATAATCAATGAGAACTGATCAAAGTGAAACTGAAAAGAGAATCAAACCTTACTAGAAACAAAGACAAACATTGAGGATAGTAGAGAATATTTGGTATTTTTCGAGTCTGTATGAAGTAAATACCGATGAAATCACCTAGCCTGTTGATTAAAAGTTCACGAATAAACTTTGAAGCTGAGGAGAACACCAAACAATTATCGAAGAAAGATATCCTATCTAACATGATATAATTTCAATTAAACCTCATTTCAAATCATAACAATCAAGCTGGAGACAAAGTCTCCAGCGTATAAATCCAGGAGAAACTAGCTGGTACAAACAAGATGAGAGTAAATGCTAGAAAAACCAGATTTCTGTCGATACAATCATCTTGTCAATCAGTTCATTGATTAAATAACTCAAAAAAAATATCTGTGAATAATGTACCAAATTCGGTCCCTTGAGTTGGTGCAATGAACATGGTCCTAAATCGAATTGGAATCTGCTACATATGAAAGGTTAATCTCAAGGAACATGAAAAGACTCAAATAATCTGTAGTCCAAGCTACAAACATCCGATCTACCGCTTCGTCTGATTCTAGATATGTCTGAATCTCCTTACCATCCAATCGCGAAATGGCTACTCAAAATCCTAGAACCTGTAATACATCGAATCATCATCCACTCATTATGTGATACTTTTGAATTTATTGATTGCATAAAAGACGAAGATGTATCTAATAAATGTATGATATCACTTGATGTTGAGTCACTTTTCACCAGTGTTCCACTTGCCGAAACTGTCTCATTCTTATGCAGATACATAGATAACAACATAACTATTGGGATACCGACAGTCTGCCTCAAGGAATTATTACTGAGATGCACATTCAGCGTTCAGTTCACATTTAACGACGTGATTTATAGACAATATGGAATTGCCATGGGATCCCCACTAGGTCCACTACTAGCAGACTGCTTTATGACCAGTTTGGAGAACGGACCCTTGAAATCAACGATTGAAGGTTTTCATCTGTACAAAAAATACATGGACGATACATTTATTATCTGTGATAATCAATATGATTTGAGTCACGTTCTACAAAGATCCAATAACTGCCATTCAGCGATTACATTCACGTTTGAGGTAGAAAATCGGTCGAAAATTCACCTTCTTGATGTAGAGCTGACAAGAACAGCTGGTGACACGTTAAGTAGGTCAATTCATAGAAAACTAATGTGGAATGGCCAACTGACGAAATTTAATAGCTGGGTCCCTATGAGTCATAGGCGAAATCTGATCATATCTCTTGCCACTCGCATAAGACAAATCTGCAGTCCCAATGTGTTAGAAGCGGAAATTCCTGTTTCTGATTGAAAATGGACTCACACCAAGCTTCATAGACGAACACATCAAACCTAAACCTTGCAAAGATAACCTTGCCACCGTAACAAAAAAGACACTCTGTATGAATCTAAACTTCAAAGGCGATTCTGCGGCTGGCACTCTAAAAAGGAGGATATCAAACGCTTTACGGAGAACATTCTTTGCATCAATGCTGAGACTAGTGTTCTCCTGTCACACAACGATTTCTAACAACTCAAAGAAGAAACGTTTGCATCTAACCACTTCTATGTGTATATATCAGTTCAGCTGCTCTTGTGGAACCAGGTATATAGGTCATTCGAAAGGGTCATTCCAAAAGGGTTCATGAACAGTATCCCGCGTGGTTACGAAGAGGTAACAATGGAGCAATAAGGAGTGCTATAATTAAACATATTGTAAACACCAATCTTCCTGTCTCAAAAATCCCCTCGTTCAAAGTCATCTGTATAGTAAAAAGAAACCTCCCAAAGGTTATATGTCTTCGTACTCTCTGCATCACTGAATCTCTTGCCATCC